ATAGATAGATAGATAGATAGATAGATAGATAGATAGATAGATAGATAGATAGATAGATAGATAGATAGATAGATAGATAGATAGATAGATAAGATCTGAGGTCTTTGAAAAATAAATACATAAAAGTGAATCCACAGCACACAAAAGATGTAAAATGTTCAAATTTATTCCATTTTATTTTAATCTCTACTTCTTAGCAGCAGATTATTCTCTTTATWAAGACATATCCAAGAACTGAGTGTCATTAGTACAGGCAGCATCTGTTGTTTAGGTGAAAAAAAATCACCTGAGTGTCAGGCARAAGACAAAGTTTAAGCTGAAAATCAGGCGAGACAAGAAGCAGCTCAGACAGGCTTATCTGAGGTGATATCTGATACGACAGCCTCCATTAATCCAGACTATCTGGGTCAGTCACCTGAGTCCCAACACTAAGAAGCTGCTCAGCCTCAGGCTTAATGTTGACAGCAAAACGAGGAAACTGTTTCCAGATAAAACACTCGGTTCATCAGAATCCCATGTGCTTAGGCAAATATGACTTTTGAAGAAAACATTCAAACATTTAAGGACGTTGTGTTCAAATGAACATCGCTGAATGCCTAGATTTTATTCTTCTAATGCGACCAGAAGTTATCCGTCCCACTGAATGAGTTCCTGTTGAATTTGTAAATTTTTGTGTCATTTCAGCTTTACATGAGCTATAAGATGCATGTTCTCTTTAAAAATTAAGTTTTCAGGACTTTATCATTCTTTTTCTTGCTCGCACAGCATTTCCACAGCACCAAAACACATCCAGAAACAACAAATCAAATATTTATTGTACATTTAATGTTAAGACTTCAGTCATTGAGAAAAAAAAAATCAAAGACAGTTTAAGACTTTTGCAAAACATCCATGTGTGATTTTTACAACAATTAAAAAATAATAAAATTAGCACCTGAAAATAAAAGTGCTTACCTGATGTAACATATGTCTACTGAGTGAGTAAAAATGTCTCCATTTACAGGTTTTGTCCAGTAATAAAGGTAAATGTGAACATGATATTTGCTGTGTTTCTCAGTAATGAGGTTCACAATCCTCCACCAGGCTGTCGGTGATGTAGTTGATGTGTAGCACCTCCTGGTAATACTCTTTCTCCACATTTGTGTTGGTGGTCCAGGCTACAACGGCCACCCCCCTTTGGGCCCAGTACTGCACATACTCCCTGCAGATGGCATACAGGAACAATTCACCATTACTGACCAAATAATTACCTCAAATTATCAGACTCACAGCTCAACAAGAASAATTTGAGAAAATCTCAAAAATTWATTTACCWGTAATYAGAAAAAGCTCAACTTAGGCACTTTAAAGGAGACATGATGCTTTTAAACCCTTCCTTTAAATCATTCAGTTGGGGTCTATATAAAGTGGAATTGCACTGCTTCGGTCTGAGTTCCTTCTTTTAGCCCTTTTCATAAGACGGCTCAGTCTGGGCCTGATGCGTGTTCAGTCCTCCAACGAGCGTTCAGAAAAAAACACGAAGGCGGACAGGCGAGTCAATTTTTCTGATGCGCAACATCATCAGAAACAACAGAGCTGCTTCATGGAAGGAGAACCTCAGCTTAGCCTGTTAGCCTTTGTGCTAGCGCTGACGCTATATTACCGTATTTTTCGGACTATAAGCTGCACCGGACTATAATCCGCACCCGCCATTTTTTAAAAAAAAAACGTGCGAACATCAACATATAAGCCGCACT